ATATTTACCAAAAAGAAAAAAGTTAAACCCATTATAATGTGAAAGAAAAAATGTTTATACCTCTTACTCGTATTTTCTTGTTCTTGTATACAAACCCAGATGATGATAAATCATTTCCCACACTCCCACTGCAAAAATAGATAAATATTCTATAAATGTTAATTATTAAACACACTAAAAAGTTGAAGCCAAATAGAAAGGAGCTTCGCTTATTAATCTTCACATTAACAGTATAGGTGGATTCAACCCAATAAATATTAGAAGAAATATATCAGAAAGAAATTAAAAATAGGCTTTTCAAAGGTGTAAAGTTGAAGGAACTTCTTGACTTCTTGTACGGGCAATGAAGTAAAAGGATTTGATACCTTTGCAAGGGCAAAAACAACACTCTCATGACTCTTGGCTGGGAGGAAACCACCCCAGTCAGGGTTATGTAGAGAGAGATGGATTTCAGAGTTTTGTTTGGGGCTGAACCTTGGGCCTTCCCACCCTGTTTGTTAGTTGGCTACCCATGCCAAGTGCAGAGCAGTCATCCTAGTAGAAAATCTAAAGGAGAGATGGGATTTTTAAGTTTCATGGCTGAGAAGGACAAGAATGAGCAGAGCGATTTGTGTCATGAAGAAGATGATAAGAATAAAAATGGAGAGAAAGTAGTCGTGTAATGAAGAAGAGAGAAGGGAAATTGATGAAAGTATTTGACGGTTTGTATTAATGAGAATGTGAATAGATTCAATACATCTACCAACCAATCACTGTTGCCACATGCACTAATTTTAGAACATCACAAATCCTACCCGACATCCAGCCTATGCTTCAGTATATATATGTCATTAATAGTACTAAATAGCCTAAACCAATAACACGTAAACATTTACAGCAATTATAAGCTTTGAGATTTGATGTGACGATCAAATAGCAAGTGTTTCAGAATTATATAGATATATGATTAATTTATCTTGATTTCTCTCAATTTTCTCCATTTTGTATTGGCCGAACGACTTATGCATGCCCAAAGTTTATTAAAACGATAATTAGTACCTAAAAGGTTTTAAAACAATAAATAGGTATCTTCTCATGTTCTGTTATGATTTTCATTTGATAATAGTGAAAAGACTAAAATGTCCTTAAAATTTAATATTTTAGATTTTTATAAATTTAAAAATTTTCTAAAAAACCCCATAGGTTGCTAATTTGACTAAATACCAAAATATAAAAATTTTATAAATAACAAAAACACCCCACCACCCGCAGTGCCAGATTCCGGAACCACCGCCGAAAAATTGCGTCACGACACAGACCCATCGGTCTGTGTCGTACCGCGTAGATCTTTCATTTTCCGACAAGATCCGGGCTGATCGCCGGGAAAAGGCCAGATCTGGCCGTCGAGACCGGGAACTTGCCGAAAAATTGTGTTACGACACAGATCCGACGTGGTGTCGTAACACAATTTTCTGGCCAGATTCGGCTGTGGTGGCCAGGGCATCTGGCACTGGGTGGCGGGGGTGTATTTGTTATTTATAAAATTTTTATATATTTGGTATTTAGTCAAATTAGCAAACCTAAGGGGGTTTTTTAGAAATTTTAAATTTATAAAAAACTAAAAATTAAACTTTCAAGGGCATTTTAGTCTTTTCACTATTATCTAACGAAAATCACTAACAGAGCATGACGAAGGTACTCATTTGTCGTTTCAAAATCTTTTGATACCAACTTGTCGTTTCGACAAATTTGAGGTATGTATAGTCGTTCTTCCTTTTAATTCGGAAAAGTTCTTTAATTTGTTGAATTTATCCTCGTTTCAGCATTGAATTGTTTCACTAATCTACGACATCAGACAAAGTGACCTGAAAAGAAATTGACAATTTTGCGACAAATGAGCAAGAGCTACTATCGTTGCTCATTTTTTTTTTTTTTTTTTCTAAATTTCCATTTTATTTTTTTTGATAAACGAAGTTTAAATTTAAAGAAAATACTTATTAAGCCAAAGTCTTCCTCTTGGCCTCAACTAATGAATTAATCTTTCAATAACTTGCTTTCCCCAAACTTAAAGAAGAGGGAAAATATATGTGAGTATTTTTGTCAACTTATATTTTGTCATTATTATTTTAAAAATCCATCATTAAAATTACTATTGCCTATTCAAAAATATGTTGAACAATGTTTAATTTTTATCATTACACACATTTCAATTCCATTTCTTGGTTTCCACTAAATAGTCAGTAATATTAGTCATGCTCATAAAATCAATAATGAGCGTTTGAATATTTGGAAACTAAACAGATAAAACGTTAATTTAATATATTATATGTTGAATTTGGATAACTATAGACTCACTTCCGAACCATTTATTTTTCATCATACACATTTTGGTTTTCCTGTTTCTCGGTTTCCACTGAACAAACAATAGTAAATTGGCTATAACTTGTTCATAAAAATTCAATTGATTAGTGGTTTGAATCTTTAGAAACTAGATAGACATAGCTTAATTTAATATTTATATGCTAAATTTGGTAATTGTAGACCTACTTCCGAATTTATCATCACACACATTTAGTTTTCTGTTTCTTGGTTTCCAGTGAACAAACTATAGTAAATTTACTACAACTTACAACAATAAAAATCTAATTGATGAGCGTTTGAATCTTTAGAGACTAGGTAGATAAGCTTTAAATATAGATTATATGCTGAATTTGGATAATTGTATACCCACAACCGAATTCAGACTATTAACCAATTATTATTTGAATGATTAATTGTTTTTGTTCTACTGAAAGGTAAGTATATCTCTTATAACAATCTTATATGAGATGAAGTAGTTTTTTTTAATTTCGTTTTCATGTAACTTGTTAAGATTCTAGGATTTATAGAATTATCACAAATGCTTAATAATGGAATCAAAATGACAAATCAGATCTGAAAATCAGAATCAGAATACTCTAACCCAAATCACTCAAAGCATATAATCAAAATGATAGAGCAAAATGTAGAGACTAGCAGATTTAGTGGTTCGGCTTTGCAACCTACGTCCACTCTCCAGGCTCAAAATAGAATATCATTAATCACAATGCCAAGATGTACAGAGAATTTCAACACAAGAGAGAAAACAAAGAAAGAACACACTCAAATAGAAACCCTAGGCTTCTCTATGATTCTCTATCTTTCTCCACATCCAGCAAGATTGATTTGTATACAAGATCACTCCTAAGATCAGCCCCACCTATTTGGATTTTCCCACAGTCTGAAACCATAGCCTAGAATCTTCTTCATACCCATGCTTCTATTGAGGTGTAAGGAGAGAATGAGGTGGCTGCAAAAGACACGGATCAAAGGAGCGAAATGAGGAGCTGATTCTTATAAAAATATGAACCTTACAAAACGTGCGGCATAAACTCCTCTTTGACCTCTTTATAAAAGAGTTGACTTCATCGTGGCAAGTCATAAGCCATCACCATTGTTATTTGAATAAATAATTGGTTTTGTTATGTGGAACAGTAAGCATATTTCTTAATAATTTAATATGAAATTTTTGTTTATTTTGTTTTCAGGGAAAAAATCATGTATTTAAATGACATGAAATCAAAGATATTAATAGTTCTACTGAAGTTAAGTATATATCCTAACTATCTAATTATAAAATTAATTAATTTTCATCTGTATTGTTCGACCAAGTAACATAATGTGGTAATGATTGAGGATGATTTCATGATTTATAGAACAGGACCAAAGCATTTTATTGTCTAAGGTTTGGTCATAATGAATGGCGAGGATTGGAACCGTAAAACTAATTTCAATTGGATTTATGAAAAAGGGACACTAATATTCCACCGTGCGAAGTACAAGATGGCTAGAGATCGAGACCCAAGCATTTTATTGTTCGAGGTTTGGTGATGATAATTTTCATGGTTGGTATCATAAACCGATTTGAAATATAGAAAAATTGAGACAATAACAGATGGCGAACAATACATTCATGTATGAAATTTTATGAAACCAGTTGCAACATAATCAACTATAATAGTTGATCAAAACAGCTTCAGTTCAAGATGTTAGTACCAAAAATCAATATGCATATAGAACACCAAATATATATATATATATAGGTATAATGGCAAGTTAAATGCTTCCCAATAAGAATTCATGCTGTATTTGTCTTTTGAAATTTCCAAATTATGATTTTGTGTATTAAATAAAGTAGTTTTTCAAGGCTTTTTGGGGTTGGTTCAGTGTATATACCAGCATAATCCTTATTATGAACAAAAAGAAATGAGTAAAAACTTTCCATGTAAATCTATCTTAGAGAAACAAAATTTCTTGTCTTTTAAAATATGCTTCCAGTTTATAAAACACTACCAGGTAAGAAAAACTCTGTGATTCATGTGGCAAAGACTTTATATACTTATTAGAAATAATTATATATTTAAAAAAAAAGACATTTTTATAGCTTTTTTTGAATAAAAACCTCATTTTTAAACAAGGAGGAATTAATAATAAAGTACATATTCAATATAATGAGTTTGTCTTTGAAAATTTATAGAAAAAAGAAAGAAAAAGGAAGACAATATTCTTTTGAAAATTATATTATAATATGAATTTATTGGAATCTTTTGTGAAAGAAACATAGTTATTTTTTTGTTTAAGATTTTAGAAAACAAAGGAAGATGAGAAGGAAAACAACAGTAAAAAAATTCAGAAATTAGAAAATTATAAATATTGAATATTATATATAAATTTTCCACCACGCCTAGCTTTTAAACATTTTTAGACATCATTGGTTGTATCAATATCTATCATCAATTATTAACTAAAATTTCTATTTAAAAAACATTTAACGATATTATTAATTGAAAAAATAATTTTAAAAACTGATTTTGTGTTAATTGAATGAATTTTTTTTTTCCTAGCTAACAAATAATAGTTAAGGTTGTTGGGACCATTATTTATTATAAGTGGTTGAGTTGGGAATGGGAACTCAAGTTCTTACCCTTGGAAGTTGGAACATAATGGTGGGGCTTCAGTTCTTCGTTGTATTGGTATTGCAAAGTCTAGTCGTATTTTCCAGACATACTTTTGGTTTTGCAGAAACAAAATCAAATGGAGTCAGCATTAAGCTCATCCCAATAGACTCTCGGGAGTCCCCCTTATATAAACCTAACCTTACTCGCCGCCAAAAAATTGAGAGAATGGTTAATGTTACCCTGGCTAAAGCTAAACTGAGAAATTTGCGTTCTACTCAAAATTCGACATTCGATGATGACAAGCATTTATTTGCTTTAGACCGTCAAGATAAGTTCTATCTTGCGCAGATGTTAATCGGAAACCCAATTCAATATGTGTATGTAGTGGTGGATACTGGTGGTCCGCTAACTTGGACACAGTGTGCACCTTGCACGGAATGTTTCCACCAAATTTATCCCATTTACGATCGGCGACATTCCTCTACTTACCGGAGACTTTCTTGTAATCATCGTCTTTGCAACCATGATGAAGAAGGCAGCCTTTTCCAATGTGTTAATGGGAGATGCGTCTACACTCATACCTATGGTACTGGTGGAGAAATCATGGGCCCGACAAAAGGTTATGCATCTCTCGAATCATTTCATTTTTTAGTGAACACCAATGGTGATACAGAACAATTTACTATTCTCTTCGGCTGCTCCAATGATAACGTAAATTTCGAGTTTGCTGATGATGAAGATAATAAGATTTCTGGGATCATGGGATTAGACTTACATCCAAATTCACTAGCGTCCCAATTGTCAAATGTCTTCTCTTATTGTATTGTTCCCTATGATGATGATTTTCCATTCGATGTGCATGCTCATATACTAAGGTTTGGGGCGGATGTTTATTTTCCTCCATATCCCATTCCAACAACGCAATATGTAAGCGTTGCAGGAACAAATTCTTATTACCTTCGTCTTTTAGATATAAGTGTGGGACGTTCTCGCTTAAATTTCCCACGAGGTACCTTCGAACCTTCCTCTAGTGGTGTCTTCATAGATTCAGGAACTCCATTTACAACACTCACCACAAGAGCCGCGAACAGGATCAATGTTTTTGAAAGGGTGAACCGAGCATTTTGGCGATACTATGATTCTCGTAATCTTGTGAGATATCCTACTGAGCCTGATGATTCATTCCATGTTTGTTATATGATCCCACAAAATTTTAGAGATTATCCATCCATGACCTTCCATTTCCGAGGGGCAGACTACGAAGTAGATGGCAGATTTGTGAACATTCGATTTGATGATGAAGGACATTTCTGCGTAGCAATAATGCCCGAAGAAACAGATTCCATTCTAGGAGCTTATTATATGCAAAATATGCGCATAATTCATAATGGCGGAATCGGAGCAGTTCAGTTTTTCCAAGCACAGTGTGCTGGTGATCATTTTTAGAATTTCTATAATATTTGTAAAGCCATGTTTCCTATTCTAAGTAAAGTAACGATATTATATTATGAAAGAAAAAATGTTTATACAAATTCTGTAAATATGGAAAAGGAACATAATAAATACAAATCCCTGCAATTATTCAATCAATTACATAAATTAAGATGATTGATTGAATGTCGTAATCATTCCTTGATCTTAGCCAGCAGAGATCATGGGAAAACTATAATGAAGATGCATTCCATATTTCGTCATCTACAATAGATTTACATACATTTTATCAATAGAAAACGATATAAAATAAACATAAAGATTACCGCATGCCTATCATTCAATCTCTCTCGCTGCAATTTCTCGCGGCAAGCTTTGGTTCCCGGCCCCCTGCATGAATCATTACGCGCCCTGTACAACAACAACACAACCACGAAAACATATTTACCAAAAAGAAAAAAAGTTAAACCCATTATAATGTGAAAGAAAAAATGTTTATACCTCTTACTCTTATTTTCTTGTTCTTGTGATACAAACCCAGATGATGATAAATCATTTCCCACACTCCCACTGCAAAAATAGATAAATATTCTATAAATGTTAATTTATTAAAACACCTAAAAAGTTGAAGCCAAATAGAAAGGAGCTTCGCTTATTAATCTTCACATTAACAGTACTAAGGTGGATTCAACCCAATAAATATTAGAAGAAATAGTATCAGAAGAGAAATTAAAAATAGGCTTTTCAAAGGTGTAAAGTTGAAGGGAACTTCTTGACTTCTTGTACGGGCAATGAAGTAAAAGGATTTGATACCTTTGCAAAGGGCAAAAACAACACTCTCATGACTCTTGGCGTGGAGGAAACCACCCCAGTCAGGGGTTATGTAGAGAGAGATGGATTTTCAGAGTTTTGTTTGGGGCTGAACCTTTGGGCCTTCCCACCCTGTTTGTTAGTTGGGCTACCCATGCCCAAGTGCAGAGCAGTACATCCTAGTAGAAAATCTAAAGGAGAGATGGATGATTTTTAAGTTTCATGGCTGAGAAGGACAAGAATGAGCAGAGCGATTTGTGTCATGAAGAAGATGATAAGAATAAAAATGGAGAGAAAGTAGTCGTGTAATGAAGAAGATGAAGAGAATGGAAATTGAGTGAAAGTATTTGACGGTTTGTATTAATGAGAATGTGAATAGATTCAATACATCTACCAACCAATCACATGTTGCCACATGCACTAATTTTAGAACATCACAAATCCTACCCGACAATCCAGCCTATGCTTCAGTATATTAATATGTGTCATTAATAGTACTAAATAGCCTAAACCAATAACACGTAAACATTTACAGCAATTATAAAGCTTCTGAGATTTTATGTGACGATCAAATAGCAAGTGTTTCAGAATTATATAGATATATAGATTAATTTATCTTTGATTTCTCTCAATTTTCTCCATTTTGTATTGGCCGAACGACTTATGCATGCCCAAAGTTTATTAAAACGATAAGTTGGTACCTAAAAGGTTTTAAAACAATAAATAGGTATCTTCCGTCATGTTCTGTTAATGATTTTCATTTGATAATAGTGAAAAGACTAAAATGTCCTTAAAAATTTAATATTTTAGATTTTTATAAATTTAAAAATTTTCTAAAAAACCCCATAGGTTTGCTAATTTGACTAAATACCCAAATATATAAAAATTTTATAAAATAACAAAAACACCCCTAACCACCCGCAGTGCCAGATTCCGGCAACCACCGCCGGAAAATTGCGTCACGACACAGACCCATCGGATCTGTGTCGTACCGCGTAGATCTTTCATTTTCCGACAAGATCCGTGGCTGATCGGGCCGGAAAAGGCCAGATCTGGCCGTCGAGACCGGGAACTTGCCGGAAAATTGTGTTACGACACAGATCCGACGTGTGTCGTAACACAATTTTCTGGCCAGATTTCGGCTGTGGTGGCCGGAATCTGGCACTGTGGGTGGCGGGGGTGTATTTGTTATTTTATAAAATTTTTATATATTTGGGTATTTAGTCAAATTAGCAAACCTAAGGGGGTTTTTTAGAAATTTTTAAATTTATAAAAAACTAAAAATTAAACTTTCAAGGGCATTTTAGTCTTTTCACTATTATCTAACGAAAATCACTAACAGAGCATGACGGAAGGTACTCATTTGTCGTTTCAAAATCTTTTAGATACCAACTTGTCGTTTCGACAAATATTGGGTATGTATAAGTCGTTCTTCCTTTTATATTCGGAAAAGTTCTTTAATTTGTTGAATTTATCCTCGTTTCAGCATTGAATTGTTTCACTAATCTACGACATCAGACAAAGTGACCTGAAAAGAAATTGACAATTTTGCGACAAATGAGCAAGAGCTACTATCGTTGCTCATTTTTTTTTTTTTTTCTAAATTTCCATTTTATTTTTTTTGATAAACGAAGTTTAAATTTAAAGAAAATACTTATTAAGCCAAAGTCGTTCCTCTTGGCCTCAACTAATGAATTAATCTTTCAATAACTTGCTTTCCTCCAAACTTAAAGAAGAGGGAAAATATATGTGAGTATTTTTGTCAACTTATTATTTTTAAAAAATCCATCATTAAAATTACTATTGCCTATTCAAAAAATATGTTGAACAATGTTTAATTTTTATCATTACACACATTTCAATTTCCCCTATTTCTTGGTTTCCACTAAATAGTCAGTAGTAAATTAGTCATGCTCAATAAAAATCTAATTAATGAGCGGTTTGAATAGTTGGAAACTAAACAGATAAAACGTTAATTTAATATATTATATGTTGAATTTGGATAACTATAGACTCACTTCCGAACCATTTATTTTTTCATCATACACATTTTGGTTTTCCCTGTTTCTCGGTTTCCACTGAACAAACAATAGTAAATTGGCTATAACTTGTTCAATAAAAATTCAATTGATTAGTGGTTTGAATCTTTAGAAACTAGATAGACATAGCTTTAATTTAATATATTATATGCTAAATTTGGATAATTGTAGACCTACTTCCGAATTTATCATCACACACATTTCAGTTTTCCTTGTTTCTTGGTTTCCAGTGAACAAACTATAGTAAATTTACTACAACTTACACAATAAAAATCTAATTGATGAGCGGTTTGAATCTTTAGAGACTAGGTAGATAAGCTTTAATTAGATATATTATATGCTGAATTTGGATAATTGTATACCCACAACCGAATTCAGACTATTAAACCAATTATTATTTGAATGATTAATTGTTTTTGTTCTACTGAAAGGTAAGTATATCTCTTATAACAATCTTAATATGAGATGAAGTAGTTTTTTTTTAATTTCGTTTTCATGTAACTTGTTAAGATTCTAGGATTTATAGAATTATCACAAATGGCTTAATAATGGAATCAAAATGACAAATCAGATCTGAAAATCAGATCTGAAAATCAGAATACTCTAACCCAAATCACTCAAAGCATATAAATCAAAATGATAGAGCAAAATGTAAGAGACATAGCAGATTTATAGTGGTTCGGCTTTGCAACCTACGTCCACTCTCCAAGGCTCAAAATAGAATATCATTAATCACAATGCCAAGATGTACAGAGAATTTCAACACAGAGAAGAAAACAAAGAAAGAACACACTCAAATAGAAACCCCTAGGCTTCTCTATGAATTCTCTATCTTTTCTCCACATCCAGCAAGATTGATTTGTATACAAGAGTCACTCCTAAGATCAGCCTCCACCTATATTGGATTTTCCCACAGTCGTGAGATGAACCATAGCCTAGAATCTTCTTCATACCCATGCTTCTATTGAGGTGTAAGGAGAGAATGAGGTGGCTGCAAAAGACACGGATCAAAGGATGCGAAATGAGGAGCTGATTCTTATAAAAAAAATATGAACCTTATTACAAAACGGTGCTGCATAAACTCTCTTTGACCTCTTTATAAAAGAGTTGACTTCATCGTGGCAAGTCATAAGCCACATCACCATTGTTATTTGAATAAATAATTGGTTTTGTTATGTGGAACAGTAAGCATATTTCTTAATAATTTTAATATGAAAATTTTTGTTTATTTTGTTTTCAGGGAAAAAATTCATGTATTTAAATGACATGAAATCAAAGATATTAATATGTTCTACTGAAGTTTAAGTATATATCCTAACTATCTTAATATAAAAATTAATTAATTTTCATCTGTATTGTTCGCACCAAGTAACATAATGTGGTAATGATTGAGGGATGATTTCATGATTTATAGAACGAGGACCAAAGCATTTTATTGTCTAAGGTTTGGTCATAATGAATGGCGAGGATTGGAACCGTAAAACTAATTTCAATTGGATTTATGAAAAAGGGACACTAATATTCCACCCGGCGAAGTACAAGATGGCTAGAGATCGAGGACCCAAGCATTTTATTGTTCGAGGTTTGGTGATGATGAATTTTCATGGTTGGTATCATAAAGCCGATTTGAAATATAGGAAAAATTGAGACAATAACACGGATGGCGAACAATACATTCATGTATGAAATTTTATGAAACCAGTTGCAACATAATCAACTATAATTATAGTTGATCAAAACATGCTTCAGTTCAAGATGTTAGTACCAAAAAATCAATATGCATATAGAACGACCAAATATATATATATATATATAGGTAATAATGGCAAGTTAAATGCTTCCCAATAAGAATTCAATGCTGTATTTGTCTTTTGAAATTTCCAAATTATGATTTTGTGTATTAAATAAAGTAGTTTTTCAAGGCTTTTTGGGGTTGGTTCAGTGTATATACCAAGCATCAATCCTTAATTATGACAAAAAAGAAAATGAGTAAAAACTTTTCCCATGTAAATCTTTATCTTAGAGAAACAAAATTTCTTGTCTTTTAAAATATGTCTTCCAGTTTATAAAACACTACCAGGTAAGAAAAACTCTGTGATTCATGTGGCAAAGACTTTATATACTTATTAGAAATAATTATATATTTAAAAAAAAAGACATTTTTAGCTTTTATTTTGAATAAAAACCTCATTTTTAAACAAGGGAGGAATTAATAATAAAGTACATATTCAATATAATGAGTTTTGTCTTTGAAAATTTATAGAAAGAAAGAAAGAAAAAGGAAGACAATATTCATTTTGAAAATTTATATTATAATATGAATTTATTGGAATCTTTTGTGAAAAGGAAACATAGTTATTTTTTTTGTTTAAGATTTTAGAAAACAAAGGAAGATGAGAATGAAAACAACAGAAATTAGAAAATTAAAAATCTTGAATATGATATAATAATTAATTATGAATTTTATATATAAATTTAGGGTTTACTTTAGTAATGTTTTTTAACATTTTTAGACATCATAGGTTGTATCAATATTTAGCATCAATTATTAACTGATATTTCTATTTAGAAAACATTTAACGCCAACTATATTGGATATTATTAAATGAAAAACTGATATCTTTTTACTATTTTGAGTTATTTAAATGTCTCTAACAAATAATAGTCAAGGTTGTTGGGACCATTATTTATTATAAGTAGTTGAGTTGGGAATGGGGACTCAATTCCTTTCTCTTGGAAAATAAACAATGGTGGGGCTTCAGTTCCCTAGAATCGCTGTTGTATTGCTATTGCAAAGTATAGTAATATTTTCTAGACATAGTTTTGGTTTTGCAGCAACAAAATCAAAAGGAGTCAGCATTAAGATCATCCCAATAGACTCTCGGGAGTCTCCCTTATATAATCCTAACCTTACTCACCGCCAAAAAATTGAGAGAATGGTTAATGTTACCCTGGCTAAAGCTAAACTTACAACATTGAGTTCTACTCAAAATTCGACATTCGATGATGACAAGCATTTTTCTCCTATAGACCGTCAAGATAAGTACTATTTGGCGCAGATGTTAATCGGAAACCCAACTCAATATGTGTATTTGGTGGTGGATACTGGTAGTTCGCTAATTTGGACACAGTGTCAACCTTGCGAAAATTGTTTCCACCAAACTTATCCCATTTACGATCTGCGAGCTTCCTCTACTTACCGTGGAATTTCTTGTGATCACCCAAATTGTAACCATAATGAAAGAGGCAGCCTTTTCCAATGTGTTGATGGGAATTGCGCCTACAGTATTCAATATGGTTACGATGGACTTATGACTGGCCCGACAAAAGGTTTTGCATCTTTCGAATCATTTACATTTTTAGTGAACGACAATGGTGACACGCAAACATTTCCTCTTCTCTTCGGTTGCTCCACTAATACCCAAAGATTCAGTTTTGCTTCTGCTCAAGACAATAAGATTTCTGGGATCTTGGGATTAGACTTCAATCCAATTTCACTAGCGTCCCAATTGTCATATGTCTTCTCTTATTGTATTGTTCCCTATAGTGATCATTTTCCATTCGATGTGCATCCTCATATACTGAGGTTTGGGCCGGATGTTTTAATTCCACAGAACATTCCAACAACGAGTTATGTACCGATTGAAAGTACAGATTTCTATTACCTTCGTCTTTTAGATATAAGTGTGGGAGGTTCTCGCTTAAATTTACCACCAGGTACCTTCGACCCTTCCTCTGGTTCTGGTTTCTTCATAGATTCAGGATCTCCATTTCCCACACTCACCACAAGGTCCACGAACGGGCTCAATGTTTTTGAAATGGTGAACACAGCATTTAGTCGCTACTATGATTCTCAAAATTTAGTGAGACGTCCTGCTCAGCCTGGTGATCAATTCAAGAATTGTTATATGATAGAACTTTTTATAAATGCTATATCAATAACCTACCATTTCGAAGGGGCAGACTACGAAGTAGAATCTAGGTTTGTCAGCGTTGCAGATTGGGATGAAGGATATTTCTGTCTAGGAATATTGCCCCAACCAGGAAGATCTCTTCTAGGAGTTCAATTTATGCAAGATATGCGCATAATTCATAATGGCGAAATCGGAGCACTTCAGTTTTACAAAGCACATTGTGCTGATGATTATATTTAGAATTTCGATATTAATAATGTTATGCTTATTCACGAACTTATTAACTATCTTATTAACCTTTGTAAATATAAAGCATAGTACGGGGTACTATATATAATTTTAACAAATATGAGTAAGGTAGTTAGTAAGTTCGTGAATAAGTATAGCATTATTGTTTCGATATTGGTCTCAGTGAATATTTGTAATTAAGCCATGTTGAAATTGGATTGAAGTATATATTATGTAATTAATCTATCTTTGATTTCTCTCACTTTTCTCTATTTTGGATTCGGAAAAGTGTCCTTATGAAGTTTATATGTAAGTATTTTCGTCAACTTATGAAGTTTGTTTGTTATTATCTTTAAAAAATCCACTATTAAAATTACTATTACTGGCCTATTCAAAAAATATATTGAACAATGTTTAATTTTTATCTTTATGCACATTTCGGTTTCCCTATTTCTCGGTTTTCACTGAACAGACAATAATAATTGGTTATAATTTGCTTAATAAAAATTCAATTAATTAGAGGTTTGAACATTTGGAAGCTAAATAGACAGGACTTTAATTTGATATATTATATGCTAAATTTGGATAGTTATATACCCACTGCCGAATTTAGACTATTAAACCCGTTGTTATTTGAATGATTAATTGTTTTTGTTCTATTGAACGGTAATAAGTATATCTCTTGGCAATCTTAATATGAAAATAAATTAGATTTTTTTTTTTTTTTTTTTTTTTTAATGTCGTTTTTAGGTAATAGTTGTAATTTAAATGAATAATTGGTTTTGTTCTGTAGAACAACAAGCATATATCTTAACAATTTTAATATGAACATCAATTAATTTTTGTTTATTTTATTTTCAAGGAAAACATTCATGTATTTAAATGAAATCAAATTGAAGATGTTACTATGTTCTGCAAAAGTATAAGTATATGTCCTAACCATGTTAAAATTGTTTGAAACCATTCACCGAACAATCAACATCAATTATAATTGGTCAAAGCATCCTTCGAGTTCGAGATGTTATTACCAAACCATCAATATACCTATATAATGATGGTAAACAAAATGACAAAACAAATTTTATTCATCAATTGGCGCATAATCTAAAAATTGGAATCATAAGATGAGAACAAGGATACGTATATGGAAATATTACACCTAATCAAAAACTCATAAATGTGGAGTAGGAACTGACTCAGCTTTACGTGGATATCACATCTTATTATAAACCAAATTTACTCATATCAATTGTAATTAACTAATAAGGACCTAAGGTTACTTTTAGATTCTACTAGACGTGGTTTACTTAGGTCAAACCTGAAGGACTAAATTGTATTTAACTCCAAACATAATACTGTAGTAGTTGATATTATTTCAGAAAAATAACAATTTTGTCCCTAAGGTTTGGTTAAAATATCATTAGCAAATCTCACGGATCAAAAAGTTACTAACACTAGTAGGGAGTTTGGGACCAAAAGGTTACAAAAAATTATATAAGACTAAAGGATCATTATATTAAACCTTAGGGACAAAATTGTTATTATCCCTATTTTTTTTTTTTTTTAAAAGCTAAAAAAGACAACTGGCAAACTCGATGGTCCAAAAATTGCCAGTTTAATTTAGGTGGACGAAGGGCCCACTTAAACCCAGTATTCCAAAAAACAAATAATTAATTAAGTCATGCTTCCAACTCGGACAATCACTTTCTCCATTTCATTAATCAATTAATTCAGATCCAGCATAGTGCCATAATTACCCTCACCAATCATCTTTCCTTCTCTCGCTTCAAAGGTTATAATAGTCATTTCTGATGTTTAGTCCTGTTTGTTTTGTTTACAATTAAGAACTGAGAATTTTGACTACGTAATTTTGAATTTCGAACTTTCTGTTTGTTTGCTGAGAAAGAGATGAGAAAATGGAATGAAATGAAATGAAGCTACATCGTTTAAGAAGTACCATAAAAAAATTAGTTGTAAAAAGGTTTACAAAAAGGATGATCAGCTTTAGGTTTTGGAGGAGATCAATTTGAAAGAATTAGTAGCATGGAATTCAGTTTAAAATTATTCTGCTTATTTGGTGAATGATGTTCTTAGGAATTATTGATGTTCTGAGACCCATAAAATACAAAATACTGTAGTAAACTCTGGTAATTTAGAATGAATTTCTGATATAAGGAAAACTCTGCCTTGAGATATGGATACCAAGGGTTTGGAGACCATTGCAAAAGGATTAGCTATTTATCCTTCTATAATGGTCTCGAATTCATAATGCAGTACTGTCTCGGTATCATAAAATGACTCGTGGTTTAGTTAAGCACTAAGATTCAAATTGTCATAATAGTGAGTTGCATCTGGTAGGAGATTAGGTTGTTTCTGATGATCAAAAGAGCTTATTTTTCACTACTATGATTAACTTTTTTGGTTTCCTGTTTAAAAAAAAGGCAAGAAAAATTTGTATTTATGTTATGTGGACTTGATTGAAACCTGATTTTGTTATAGAGTTTCTGAGATCTTGTGGCTTTTTTACAAGACGATTGAGCAGAAGAATTTAGAAATTCCAAAATGTAAAAACTCTGTAAGGTTGACATATCTAAGAACTGAGCCTTCCTAGAGGTGAAAATAAAATGGACTGGTCTTTCATGTAAGTTAACATAGCCTTCTTATTTGTAGTTATGCTAGATTTATGGCCTAATTATTTTACCGTGGTTTGCCTATCCAATCTTGGATAGACTAAATCCACGTTGAGCTCCAAAATATGGATACTCACAGCACTAAAAGGTTATCCAACAATTACAAGAAGAAAACCATACAAATCTGCCAAAACAGAGCAACACTCAACCTAGGCCTATTCGCTCAAGAATCTCTCTACAATCTGCAAGAAACAGAAGACTAAACCAGCCTCAAGAAGGAAACGCAACCCTCTCTTTAATCTACCCAGATTATTCCCAGAAAGCCTTAGCAAAATACCCAACCCTAGTTGCTCTCTAATTTTTCTCACGAACCCTAACCTTTCTGATTAACAAAAGATGTGGTTGTTCACAACACTATTGCTTCTTTTTATATATGCCCATATCAGCAAATATCAGCTCTTGGATCTGTCTTGATCTAACGGCCAGGATTCCTTCAGTTAACTTAAATGAAACGACCCCGTTTTGGCTTCACATTATTTTCATGCTTATTTGGTGAATGATGTTCTTAGGAATTATTGACGTCCTGAGACCCATAAAATACAAAATACTGTAGTAAACTTTGGTAATTTAGAATGAATTTCTGATATAAGGAAAACTCTGCCTTGAGATATGGATACCAAGGGTTTGGAGACCATTGCAAAAGGATTAGCTATTTGTCCTTCTATAATGGGCTCGAATTCATAATGTAGTACTATCTCGGTATCATAAAATGACTCGTGGTTTAGTCAAGCACTAATATTCAAATTGTCATAATAGTGAGTTGCATCTGGTAGGAGATTAGGTTGTTTCTGATGATCAAAAGAGCTTATTTTTCACTACTATGATTAACTTTTTTGGTTTCCTGTTAATAAAAAAAAGGCAAGAAAAATTTGTATTTATGTTATGTGGACTTGACTGAAACCTGATTTTGTTATAGAGTTTCTGAGATCTTGTGGCTTTTTTACAAGACGATTGAGCAGAAGAATTTAGAAATTCCAAAATGTAAAAACTCTGTAAGAGCATCTCCAAAGAACTCTTTATATGACTCAAACTCTTTATTATAAAGAGTTTATCAATAAAAACAAGAGTCCAACAGATTCTTTATCTTTAAAATATAAATTAGAGAGTGAGTTTGACTTTCCACATTTAGAGAGTCAAATTTCACTACCTATCCTAATTTTAATTAATAAATTACAAGTTCCTATGCATTTTATTTATTAATTCTCTCTCCCATTAAGTCTTTTTCTTAAAAATAAAGAGCATCTTCATTAAATTTAAAGAGTCTATTGAATTTGAATAAAAATTGTGTTCTTTGTATTTTAAAATTAATGAAGATGCTCTTTATTTATATGAAATATGCTTTTCAAAATAAAGAGTACCATTGGAGATGCTCTAAGGTTGACATATCTAAGAACTGAGCCTTCTTAGAGGGGAAAATAAAATGGACTGGTCTTTCATGTACGTTAACATAGCCTTCTTATTTGTAGTTATGCTAGATTTATGCCCTAGTTATTTTACACCATGAGTTATTAAAGGTATTGTTGAGAAAATATGAGTCAAAATTCAACTTTGTTGATGTGTGATTTTGACACCAACCAAACGCACGTGTGAAATGATGAACTGGCTTAGAAGACACACGTGGATGAAAGAGTGAGAGAAAAAGCAATGAAGAATAGCGTTTAAAGTAGTTCGGATGCTAAGGAAGCAAATCCTACGTCCACTGATTTTATATTAATGATAGTGGTCAGGTCGCGTTCAGGGGACTGACTTACAAATGATTATATGAGAGAGAGAATGCTATTTTTTCTTTAGAGAGATTAGCTAATCCCCCAAATGAGAGAGGAGCTCCCAATTTATAGTGGGATAGATTAAGGTTATGATTATTAAATCTGTGAGCTAGTGGGATTATCCATGCAAATCCTTCTTTATGTCTCATTACCCACTTTCTAGAGCGATTTACGCGATTTGGTACAAGGATTAGACACGTGGAATCACTTTAGCTCTTGCCTGGTCTAACGTGCACCCACTGCCCTGACAAAAGCATGCCGTCCCTATCATTGTGTGACGTGACTGCCTCTGACTAGCTGCAGACATACCTAAGCTCTAACTTTTTATGCTGACTGAGTCTTGCATCAGCCCTACTTTTTCAGGCATAACAAACTTGAATTAGTGTTAAGCAAGAAAAAGCTAGATCTTCAATGTATTTGTTGACCTGCTTTTTCTAATGTGTGCTTTATTATAATTTTCCTGCACATCATCAATGCAGGATGCACATGACGAGTCAAAATCTGTGACCAAGGCTCCTGCCATGAAAGGTAATCAGTAATCTCATGCAGTTCTTTT